GTACAAACTTCCAGAAAATAAAAAAACCCACTTCAACTTCTTTTGTAAGGCCAGCATTGCCCCGATCCCTAAATCTGAAAAAGACATTATAAGAATAGAAAACTAAATAAAGAGCAACATCCCCAAAAACATAACAAAGAGATTAAAGAAGATATAAATAAATAGAAAGATGCACCATGCTTATCGATCAAGCTCAGTATTATGAAGAGATTAGTTCTCCCTAGGTTTATCTATGCTTTTTGTTTATTTTTTTTACAGTAACTGACAAGCTGATTCTAAAACTTATATGGAAATGCAAAGCATCTAAAATGGATAAAACAGAAAAGAAAGGAAAAAGACTAAACAAATTTACCTGATTTCAAGATTTATATAAAGCTACAGTAATCTAGACAGGGTGGTGTTAGTGTAAAAACACATATATAGATCAATGGAGTGGAATAGAAAGCCACATGTATCTGGCAAATTGGGAAATAATTATCTTTTCCAGAAATGGTACTGGAGCAATTGGATATTCATACATCCAAGAGAGGGAGAAAGAGAGGACTTCCAATCAAGATGGTGGCATAGATCAACATGGCACTCGCCTCCTCCTACAACCACATCAAAATTACAACTAAACTAGAGAACAACCATCATGCAGAATCTCCCAAAACTGAGCTGAATGGAAGTCCTACAACTATAAAATTAAAGAAGAAACCACATCAAAACTGGTAGAAAGAATGGAGACATGGAATGAATTGGTCTTACACCCACACATAGCAGATAAAAATCAGGAGGGATATCTCCAATGTGGAGGACCCCTCCGAGGAGCACGGGATTCCAGACCCACACAAGGACTCCCTTCCCAGGGTTCCAGTGCCAGAAAGAGAAGTCCCCATAACTTCTGGCTATAAAACCCAGCAGGGATTGAGGCTGAGGAAGATGGAAATTTCCAGAGTCCCAGGGAGTTCAAAAGGGCCCTCGCCCGGACTTACTCAGACTCTGCACTCCAGCATGAGGGCAGCAGCATGAAAGGCACTAGAGACATATGGGGAGGAACTAAAGTATCTGGCATCAGGGCAGAGGCTGGAGGGGCATCCTCCTCCCAGACAGAAGTGCTGCCAGAGATCACTGTTGTCTTGCTGAGCCCTCCCCCACAGACCCTGCAGGTAGGCACCATATCTGAGACTCCATCCACCTGGCTCACACGGTTGCTCCCCCCACCCCCAGCCCATGATTCCTTGAGTTCCTACCCCACCCAACCTTTGGACCTAAGCTGTTTCTAGTGTCTTTTCCATATGAATAGCTTGTCTTGGCTCAGGCTTCAGATTTTCATAAATTTTCTCAAGTAAGTAGGATCTGGCCTCAGTGAGCCCCATACCTCTCCTCTTGCTAAGTGGCCCCAGGTCTGGTACAAGCAGCAGCTGGCCTTACTTCAAAGGTTGGCCTCACCTGGGTACTTTTAAGCCCAGTCTAAGTAGCAGCCATGTGCAGATCATTTTGTAGCTTATGCCAGGTGGCCCTGTACAGGACACAGGTGGTGGCTGACCTTGGCCTGTACCTCCTAGGAGGCCCCAGAGCCAGTGCCCCTAGTGGACAGCTTCAGGCCACACTGAAGTACCACCACCCAACCACCTCCACAAGATACACATTCAAAGGGAAGAGAGCAAGTACCAGAGCTCTGCTGAAGGAAGTCCTGCTCTGCGGAGTGGGCCTCTGCACAGCTGACCCTCCAAGGAGGTCGGAGGTTGGTGGTCAGTGGTCACAGTGAGTTCCTGCGGCTGATCAGCCTGGGTAAATCCCTCCCATTAACATGCCAACAACAATCAAGGCTCAACTACAAGAGGAGGGTGTATACTTGGGTGCACCTTGAGTACCCAGCTTAGGTGATAGGGGAGGTTGTGCCACTGAACCCTACAGGACACCTACTACATTAGATCACGATACCAAACTTGGGAGGCATAGAAGCTCTACTTAATACACAGAAGCAAACACAGGGAGTCTGCCAAAATGAGGAGACAAAGAAACATGGCCCAAATGAAAGAACAGAACAAAACTCCAGAAAAAGAACTAAACAAAATGTAGAAAAGCAATTTACTAGATGCAGAGTTCAAGACACTGGTTATAAAGATGCTCAATGAACTTAGTGAGGACTTCAACACCGTAAGAAAGAACCAGAGAGATATGAAGGATACCCTCACTGAAATAAAAAAATAATTTATAGGGAATCAACAATAGAGCAGATGAAGCCGAGAATCAAATAAGCAATTTGGAATATAAGGAAGCAAAAAATACACAATCAGAAGAGAGAGGGGGGGAAAAAAAACCCAGAATCAAAAAAATAAAAACGAGGATAGTGTAAAGGGCCTCTGGGACAACTTCAAGTGTACCAACATTCACACCACGGGGATGCCAGAAGGAGAAGAGAGAGAAGGTAAGAAATTGAAAACCTGTTTGAAAAAACAATGACAGAAAACTTCCCTGCCTTGCTGAAGGGAGTAGACATAACAAGTCCAGAAAGCGCAGTCACAAAGAAGATGAACCCAATGAAGTACACAACAAGGCACATCATAATTAAAATGCCTAAAAATTAAAGATAAAGAGAAAATCTTAAAAGCAGCAAGACAAAAGCAGTTAGTTACTTACAAGGGAGCTCCCATAAAACTATCAGCTGATTGCTCAAAGAAATTTTGAAGGCCAGAAGGGAGTGGCAAAAAACATTCAAAGTGATGAAAAGAAAGGATCTACAACCAAGATTACTCTACCCAGCAAAGCTATCATTTAGAAACAAAGAACAGATAAAGAGCTTCTCAGACAAGAAAAGTTAAAGAAGTTCATCACCACCAAACCAGTATTATATGAAATGTTAAAGGGTCTCCTTTAAGAATAAGACGGAAAAGAAAACAAAAAATATGAACGATAAAATGGCAATAAATACATCTCTATCAACAATTGAACCCAAAAAACAAACAAGCAGAACAGAAACAGAATCATAGATACAGAGAATGTTTTGACAGCTGCCAGACAGGAGGAGGGCTGAGGGGACAGGCAAAAAAAAGTGAAGGGGTTAAGAAATTCAAATTGGTTGTTACAAAATAGTCATGGGGATGCAAAGTACATCATAGGGAACATAATCAATAATAACCTAATAACTATATATGGTGTTAGATGGGTGCCAGCTTTATTGGAATGACAACTTGTTAAGTTATATAATGTATAACTGCTGGGGTGTACACCTGAAACTAATATAATAATGTATGTCAACTGTAATTGAAAATTTTAAAGTGATTTAAAAAAAGAGAGAGAATTACAACCCTGACTCCATATCACACACGATAATCAAAATGAATGTAGAAGCTAAAACTAAGTATAAAAGCTAAAATTGTAAAACTTCTAGAAGAAAACGTAAGAACTTTTCATGATCTCAGAATAGGTCAGGAGTTCTTAAATAGCACATAAAACCAAAAAGAAATGATAACTTGAGTCCAACATTCTTTGTGGCTGAGCTTTGTTGCCATTTCTCTTGTCTCCGTCTGCTGCCCCGGCACCAGCTAGGACGAGCTGGGCGGTGACTCCCCCTCCAACCAGCCCAGGGCCCTTGGGGAGGGGTAACTTTGGCACTGCCCTAACTCCCTTCAGCCCACTGTCCCTTCCACGTGGCTGCTGCTAAGGCCAGCTCTAAGGCTCATAGACTCCAGAGACGCAGCTAAATTCAGATTTTGATCCCTACGCCTATGAGGCCCTCTCCCCTCAGCCTTCACCTGTCTAAGGAGATGTGAGTGAAGCTTGGTGGTTCCCTGATCGTCTCTCTCTCTGTGCAGTGAGAGGCTCTCCTGTGCTTCGCTATCTCCACTCTATAGCCTTGAAGTTTTGGTTAAGGTGGAAACAGCCTTCCAGAGATTCTAGAGGGAATGTGGACTTCTTCCTAGAGGGTTCATTTGGTCATTTCAATAGGGACTTGTTGGTAAGATGGGGAAGGACATTGAATACAAAAGGTTAGATCCCCGCCAAGCACCAGTAGTCCCTTCTGATTCAGGAAGGGCCATGCTTTCTAACACTCTAACACTGAAAGTACTAAAATCTAGTAAGTGTATATGCCTGATACGGTGTGAGGGAGTAAACAGGGTAGCGCCCAACCTTACTATCACCCTATAATGAGCAAGTCATTTCACCTTAGTGTCCATTTATTGAAAGGTCTTGAAATTAACTTTCTTTAAGTAGGATTCACTGACTTCCTTCCCCAGAAAGGAGTTACTTTGGAGAGGTAACCCAGACTATGTCTTCCTGCTAGTGACCTTCTCACACAGGGGTGGGACCATGGCTGAGACCAAGTCTCCCCAATGCCAGGTGTGTAGTGACTACTGCCCTCAAGGTCAGGAAAAGTCAGGGCCTTTGGAAGTTAAAGAGACACAAAGGCCCTGAGGGATGGGGAGGACTTAAAAGAGCAGAGAGGAGCTCGCACTCCAACTCCAACCCGGATCCGCACTAGAGGGTGCGTCCCGGGGATAGGATGGACATGCCCTTTGGAGTCCGGTGTCACCGGATTGGGGAAGGCGGCACACTCCGGATTACAGGGGGTGGGGGGACAAGGTGGAGGGCGGGCGGTAGATCTCTTATCCCAGGCTGGAGCCGTCCCTCACGCCGCGACAGCGAGCACCGCGGTCCTTGCAGCGCGTCAGCCGCAGAGTGGCTATTGGGGACCTGCTGGGAGGCGCGGGATTCTGAGTCCCGCGAAGGCACAGCTGGGAACTGAGACCCAGGAGGCCCCGGGCTCCAGGTCCGCTCCTGGAGCGCGCTGGGCAGTCGCTAGGGTCCCTGCGCTTGGCAAGTTCCCTGGAGCCGGGTTCCGCGGAGCAAGGGGCTTGCAGCGCCTCCTCGGGGCAGCGGGTGGGGTGGCCCCAGGCGCCTCGGCCAGCAGCTGCTGCTGCCTTATAAGGCGGGGGCCGGGCCGCGCCGGGGGAGGGGCTGCGGCCGCCTGGCCGCCCCTTAGGCTCTCCTAGCGGTACGCGGCTGGCCAGGGAGCGCAGAGGCAGCGGGAGCCCAGGAGCAAACGAGCCGGCCATGGGCAAGTCAGGTGAGCCCGCTGCGCCCGCTGGGCCACGGTGCGGGGATGGCTCAGGAGATAGGGACTCCGGATGCCCGCCGTCACCCTCCCCCTCGGCGGGCTGGATTTCCCTGCAGCTGGGCGGCCGCCTCCGCGCAGGGACGCAGCTCCGGCTGCGGGAGGATCCCAGGCGCGGGATGGTGCGGCGCGCGGGACGAAGCGCCGGAGGGGCAGGGCGGACAGTTTCCGGGGTAGCCAGGAAGCCGGGGTGGCCGTGGGGCCCCGGGGAGAGAGGGAGGGAAAGCGAGACCGAGGGAGGGTCCCCTGTCTGCGAGCCAGAAATTGCGTCTGGGAGGGCGTCCAGGCGCTGATGGGATTAGCGCTCAGCGTCTGGCCAAGGCGTGGCTTTTGCTTTGTTTCAAGAGAATAGTTAGAAGTTGGAAAAAACCACCAAATTGTGACAGCAGCTTTCGCTGCAAAGCAACGCGCTCCAACCAATCCTCTTAAGGACAGGTCGAGCATCCTTCTGGCTTTGTCCCCCCTCCCTTGAGCGCCCCCTCTTTGCCAGGCTGTCTGCCAGGCTATCAGGCTCCACTAGGGTACAGACTCTGCTTCCCCTTTTTCTCCCACCTGTTGGCGGCCCGTCCTCACCGGTGTAGCTGTCCCGGGTGAACTTTGTAAAAGGTATATCTTATCCTATCACTCTCCAACACCTTCCATTCCATTATCTGCAGGTCAGAGAGTACACATTCTTCAGCCCAGACTTGGGCTCCTCTGGGAGCTGGTCATCACTCCTTGCCTCCACTCAGCCATCCTGAGGCTGGCACACTGGTCCCCCTTCCCCTGGGTTCCCTTTCCCAGCACCTACCACTGCCACTCTGTCTCTCCCAATTCTCTGAGGTTGAAAATCCTCCCCATCCTTGTAGACTCAGCTTCTGGGCTGAGAGACCACCCCTGACTTCCCTAACCCCCTAGAAGGATTGCAGGTCTCTTGGTTGTAGCCCTCCCAGCAGTCAGCTTGGGACACTGCCCAGCCATAGATCTGTTTCCCACAGATAGGTCCTCCTGGAGCCCGGGGTGGGTTGGGGACGCGGGCCGGGTGGGGGTGGGGGTGTGGGGGACGGCCGTCTATCTCAGCATAGTTCTTGCCTCGCAGGAGGCTCTTAATGAACAGCTGTTGAACAGAGTTCAGAAGTCCTGCTTCATGGGAAGCTGAAGTTGTCAGCTTTAGGAGAGTGAAGCTGGGTCTTGAATCTCTCCTCAAGATCCAGACTCATGAGGTACCAGCACTGGGCATAAGAGACTTTCCCTGGAATTGGTCTTAACCTGCCTTACCTGTAGTGACAGGTCTGGCTTTTCAGGCCTGGCAGTGCTAATCACTTGCTATGTGACCGTGAGCAAGGTCCTTTCCCCATCTGTCCAATGAGAGTGGCCCATATGACCCCCAGGGTCCTTCACAGTGTGGAAAAGTGATATAAGGAGTTGCCATGAAACTAAAATTCAGGATGGTGGGTGGTGATGGGGGAAGAGCATGGCTGCAGTGAGAGCATTTTGAGAAACCAACTCCTTTCTCTGTAGCTTAAAAATCCACAGACTCTCTAATGCCACATTGTAATCAGTTGCTCCTAGCTTCTCCCCTAAGAAACAGTTTTCCCGAGTTGCTAATTGTCATCTGCCTATTCTTCTATTTGTCTATCCATCTATCCCTCTCAGCCTCCCTACTTCCTTCTCTCCCTCCCTTTCTTCCATCCATTCCACCACCGATCAGCTACAAACCAAGCCGAGGGCCCCGTGCTGAGGAGGGCGTGATCCTTGTCCTCGGGAGTGTGCGCTTGGATTGTGAACTGAACCCTAACGCTGATCCCGGTGCTGAGAAGCCTCACGTGGCTTCAGTAAGAGGTGGGAAGTGACTCAAGGCACAATGCAGGTGCAAGTGAAGAGCAAGGGGAGCTCAGGGGAAGGAGAGATCTCCTTTGCCAAGGGGCCTACTGAAGGCTCTTGGAGGAGGTGGTCAAAGCCCAGAGAGTCTTGAGAATTTGGACTTTATCCCAGAGACCTGGGGTGCCACTGAAAGTTATTAATCTGAAAGTGGCAGGACCAGAGCTGTGTCAGGGTGGATCAGGTGGGGAGAGGGGAGGGGTGGGGGGTCAGGAAGAGATTGCTGGCGCTATTCAGGCAGGAGATGGCAGGCATCTAAGGCACTGGAAAGCAGAGGATGGATTTTGGAGATGGTGCTGTCAAGCAGACTTCGGTGACTAACTTGTGAATGACAGGAAGGTGTCAGAGGTACGTCTTGGTGCAAGACGGTAGTGACACCTAGGACTGAAGATGCAGAATGGAGCAGGTTTCAGGAGGGGGGACAGTGGCAGAAGGCACTGTCTCCCTCCCCTCTGACAGTGTGCCATGCCCCACACACATATATACACACAATCAGGGACCTTCCAAAATGCTGGCCCAGACCTCTCTTCCTCATTGCTGCATGCATTTTATTGTCTCTCCCAAAGACTGTTAGCCCCCACGACAGTGTCTGGCTCCTGTGAAGGTCTCCAAGAGAAAGTGACTTTTCTGGGGACTGCAGGACCCGTGCGCTTTCAGCACAGGCCCAACCCTGAAGCCCCAGGCCGCCAGCCTGAGGTCTGCATTGCAGGGTGGGTAGCACTCACAGATGTGTCGCCACACAGGGGCTTTATGTGGTTCCTTCAAGACCGTTGTTGAAAGGAGCCAGTCTTGCCTCTTCTCATGACTGCATAGGAGACGGTCTCTTTTTAATCTTAAACCTCAGATATAGCCCAGAGCTGCTTGGGCATTCCCCTGTGTTTGTTCATGCAACAAACACAGCTTTAATTCCAGGAGATGCTCAGCCCAGTGGTCAGAGACTTCCAGACCCATCTCCCAGCCCTGGTCTCCCTGCTGGGCTTCAGTTTGCAGCAGCTGTGACCGGGGGCAGAGAAAGGCAATGACCTTGGGCTCAGTGGAAACCTCTAGTCCCTAATAATAGTGATTACCAATTATTAAGCTCTTAGTGCCGGCTTGGAGCTACTTATTATCAATTGTACAGATTTATAAAGGTTAGGTACCATGCCCAAGCTCATACCTTGACCAGTAAGTGGACAAACTGGGATTTGAACCCAGCTCTCTGACTTCCCAGCTGTGGGCTTTCCCCACTACCACACTGACCACTTGCGCCTGCTCCCTGCCTGCTTCTCAGGCTGGAATGGGTTCAGTAGGGACTTCCACACACCCGCTAATTATCTAAGGATCTTAAAGTCCCCTCCACCCACATGTGCCATCAGAGCAGAAAAGCCATTTAGGGACCAACTAGCCCAGGAATTTTATACTGAGGAGGGAGGGCCCTGCCAGCTCTGCAGGGCGAGGCTGTGGGGGCCACATCCATTCCAACAGTTCCATTTTCATCTGATGATTTTATTTGGGAAAAAAAAAAGTTCAAAGAAAGGGTTTCCTGGCTTTAAAAATCTTTTGAAACCTACCGAAGTCATTGCTCCTTCTCACACAGATGGGGAACAGGAGTCCAGAGGGGTGGGGACTTGCCCAGTGCTCAAGGCAGGACTGGGTGGCTGCAGGCAGGGCTGGAGAGTGGACGCTGACTGCCCTGGCTCCTTCAGGCCCTCAGTGACTGTTACTTGTCTCAAAGGGTCAGCCTGGATCTGGTGCTCCGGGACACCCTGTCCCTGTAAGCAACTGGGCAACTCTTCATTGACCATCATTTTTGCTTGAGGAGAGGAAAAATATATGCAAGTGGGAAGTATGCGAGATTTGGGGCAGAGGAGGGCTCTTCTTAGATTTAGCTCGAATGTGGACTCACCTTGTGAAATCGTGCAATTCAAATGTCCGTCCTCTCAGAGACCGCAGCTTCCTCATCTGCAATGAGAAGACTCTGGTCCTAGAGCCTTCCCAGCACTGGTGAGGACCTCATTCATCTGCTGACTCACTCACTCATTCACTCAGCACGCATCTGAGCTCGGAGGCTCTGAAAGAGGTTGTCAAAAGATCCACTTAAATACCAGCAGCCTTGCTCCCGTGAAAAGTCAGGGATGGGATCTGAAGAAGCAGAGTCTCCAAAAGCCAGAGACTTAAAGGGTCTTGGCTCACTTGTAATGAGATCATTATAATTGACATTGGATAACTGTTCACTGTTCCAGAACTGTTCCAAAGCAATGACGTAGGTTAATTCATTTAATTCTCACAACAACCCTGTGAGGTAGATGCTGTTACCCCCATTTTTCTGTGCAGGGGAAATGAGGCATAGAGTGATTAAGCAGCTTGTCCAGAAGTACAGCTAGTCAGAGGAGGACCTAGTGTTTGCCTCTTGAATTTCCTGGAACCCGGGTTGGGAGAATAGAAGCTTCTCTTCTATCCCCACCCTCTTCACCCCTCAACTTTTTATTCTTCCTGATAAACCAGTTTTACCCCAAAGGTGGAACCTGGTCACTTCGCAGTGTTAAAGAACAACATTCAACTGAGTAAATTTGAATATGCCATTGGCTTTAGTCAGCAGTTCATGGGATTTATTGCTTCTAGCAACTAGAAGGGCACTCCGATGAGTTGTACAAAATGGAAGGTTTTCATAGGCAGAAAGAGGGTGAGATTAAGGAGTTAAAAGAGTGGATTGTTTTAGACAGGGTCACCTGCCTTCAGTGGGGAGCAGCAGGTCTTATCAGGTAGTTTGCCTCACTAGTGATCAGGAAATTCCAGACTGATTGGTTTAAAATTCCACTCCTAGGAGAGGCTGAAATTGCAATTGGGTAAGTTATTCGGTTTTTGTTTGGTGAGGTGGCTTAGCAAAAGTGACTCCATTTTGGCCTTTTGTTTCTTTTTTTAACACCAGCTTCTTGCCAAGGGGCAGAAGGGGGCTGTCCTGGTTTCTGACAGTCCGGGGCCTCGTTGGTGGGGAGTGTGGGGAGAAGTGAGTCAGGCTGGGCTCTGGGAGGCCTCTGGAGAGGACAGATGCTGAGGAGGAGCCTTTTCCAGCCAACAGCCAGGCGGGAGGAGGGGCACAGGCCTCCTTGGAGGCTTAATTTGGCATTCAGAGGCCCAGGCCCCAGAGGACCTGCAGGGGCCCCTGTTCAGCCCCACCTAAGGTGCCTGTGCCCTCTGCTGGCAGAGACAGCTTAGCCCTGCCACCTTCCCTCAGCGCCTCCGCCACCGGGAGCCATGCCCGGCCAGCTCCTTCCACCTTTCAGCAGCTCTGGCCTCAAGCCCCAAACCTGCTCCCTGGAGCCTCTACTCCTGCGCCCCTAATTTTACTCTGGGGCCCCTCAGGCAGGTCTGAAACCTAAGTTCTTTTCTCCCCTCCCTCTTCTTCTCTCTCCTCAGAGGTTTAAAGGCAGCCGCCAACCTCAGTGCCCCACCTCCTAGGTCTGGCCAACCCCTGTGTCTCTTCTCTGTGACTCCCCCGGACTGGTAGCCCTTGGGGACGGAGTGGGGTTAATGCAGGACAGCGTTTCCTTCCACATGAGCCTACCTACCCTTAGACCAGTTGTGGGAACGTGGGCAGGTTACCTTCCTTCCTGATCCTCAGTTTTCTCATTTATAAAATGGGTGCAACAGTGGAAGCTCCCACAAACGGTGGTGAGAAGTAAGTGAGGCCCAGTGCCCAGCAATGGCTGGCAGACGAGCGGAAGGAAGGCCCGCCCTCATTCCAGACCAGCACCCTGAGCCTCGGTGCACCCTCCTAGGAGGACACAACCCTTCCCTCAATCCCTGTTGTGGGGTGGCTGTGACGGATCCCCCCCCCGCCGCCCCCACCCCGCCTAATGCAGGGATGGGTAGGTTTTCTTTGACTTTTTTCCTTCTACATTTATCTTTTCTTCTTGGACTGTTCTACAGAAGTGGGGTGTGCCTCTGGCTGGGTGTGGTCACTAGTGATATCTTGCCTCCCTGAGACAGAGGCCCTGCTGTGAGGAGCCACCTGGACTGACTGGCTGCCGGGGTGGGAGGGGACTCCTGGGGCCAGTCAGTCTTGTGGTGGGTGGAGCCACCCAGCAGGGGTGGAGAGAGAGGGCTCCCTTCCGGATTACCAAAAAGTCTTCTTGAGCCCTTCCTGGGAACCCTGGCCCAGGGAGCTGGCCCTTCTGGGGACAGTGACTGGCTTGGGCTATGGGGCACTGAGCTTAGGTTGAGCACAGGAACTTTCACTTTTGTTTCTCTTCACTTCTCATATTCTGGGAGTGCAGTGACCTAGTTTTTAGCAGCCTTATATGTCCCTCTCTGCCAAGGAGACTGCAGGGCCTACGGCACCAGGACCTCGGTGTGACCCGGCCCCAGCACTCGGAGCCGCCTTTAAGCAGGCTTTGGGAGCTAGCCACCAGTTGCCTTCCTCTCCGCCTCCTCCCCGCAGCCCTGGGATACACCAGGCCCCATCCACCCTGGCCCTTTCTGTGCCCTTTGCCTCCACACCACCTCCTCCAGGTAGCCCTCCCCAATACTTCGTGGTCGCCACTGCCCATGCCACTCAGCCCCAGGCACCTCTAGCGGTGTCCTGCCTTGCCTGCCTGGGACGTGGGAGCGGGAAGGGACATTGGAATGGGCCTCCCCATTTCTGCCTATCAATCCAAACTTCCCCTGTCCTGGCTGTAGGCGCCAACTTCCGTTCCCCACATCCCTGTCCCATCCCATGTTACTGTGACTGCTCCTCACTGGACTGTCCTGCTGGGTCCCACAGTCCTCAAGGTCGGTACTACTCACTTTAATTTATCAAAAACCCCTTGGGCAGTTCAAGCACCGTGACCTGCAGTTTGTTACTTTCATCGCCACTGGGCCTGCGTCTAGCCCAAAGCTCCCGAGGGCAAGTTCTGGTCTTTTTCCCCTTATGACCCCTCCGAGACCCAGTGAGATTTGACTTGAAGGCCTAAGAGACATGGGCAACCTGGCTGAGGGAGGGAAGAGGGTTTCCTGCTGGCTCCTCTGCTCAGCCTCTGGGTGAAAAGACAGCAGGGGAGAGGGTCAGTGGGTGAGCGTGACCTGGGGCAGTGGGAAGAGCGAATGGTGCTTCTTTTGCCTCCCTGCCCACAGCCAGGCCCCGGGGGAAGGCTCCTGCCAGATGGACTGGCTCAGTTTAACTGTCCTGACTCAGCCCTCACTCCCAACTCACCCAACTCACCCCCGTTTCCGCAGAGGGGTAAACTCCCAGATTCCTAAGGCTGTCACTCAGTGTCTTCACTATCTGAGCCTGGCTAGCTGCTGTCCAGACATCGTTGGAGCCTCAAATCTGGGGTCGCCTCTCCTGATCCCCCAGACCATGCTAGGCTGCTGTTCAGGTTCCTCTTGCACCTGTGCTCTTTTCTGCACCGTGGCCCTCTCACACTGTTTGCTGGCGTCTGTTTGCAGGCTGTCTCCCTTCTGTGCGTGAGAGATTTGAGGACAGGATGTGGCAGATTTGTCTCTGGGCATCTAGTGCGCAATACGGACCTGGCACAGAGGTGCTCAGAGAAGAGACAAAGGGGCGGGTGGATTGGGAGTGGGTGGGTGGTGCTGCTGGACAGGTGATGAATCAATGGATGGATGAATGAAAGGTGGAGAGATGGGTGGTGTTGGATGGATCCAGATTGATGTGGCTTCTGGCCACTGTTGACCTTGCCTGACCTTGGCTTCACCCACTTATTCTCTTCCTAACCCCAGCCCCCTTGATCTTGCCCTTTCTAAGGTCATGACCCCGTTGGGCACAGGCTCTGCCTCATCCCTCACTGCAGCTCTGGGCCCCACCCCTTCGTATCCCACACTCTCCTCTCGTTCCACTTTCCCAGTGCTGTCCTTCCCTGGCCCTCTTTTCTTCGTTTGTCCCTCGGTCTTCTTGATTGTACCAGCCCAGGGTGGGCGCCCCTCCACCGCAGCCAGGCTTGTTCTCTCTGAGCGCCCACCCCTGGTCCTTTCCACGCCCCGCCACACGCCATAGGTCCAGTCTGAGATATCCAGTCTCCTTCAGACATTTTCTTTCAGGAGTCCCATTGCTCACCTCTGCTCTGCACCTCTGGCCCCTCCTCCACCCAGCAGCCAGCAGGAACTTTTTCAGAAGCACCGTTCTCACCAGCTCACTGGCCTGCTTCCAGTCAGTTGCTTCTCATTGCTTTGGATAAAGACCCAAATCCCCAACAGGGCCCACATGGCCCTGCATAATCCACGGGGTGCAGGTGTGCAGAGATGTGGAGGGCGACATCAGGGATACGGACGGACGGGATGGGCAGAGGTGTGGAGCAGGGCATCGCGGTTGTCCGTTTGGCTGGGGTGCTGAAGGGTAGCCTCGCCGCGTGGCCTGAGGGCCGAGCCGAGTGTTGCTCTGGAGCCGGCCGTCGCACTTTTGGTGGGTCTTTCCTCCGCACTGAGACATTCTCCATTTTGAAATCATTGCAGCTTCCAAACAGTTTAATAACGAGGTCCTGATAGCCCACAACGAGTACCGGAAGCAGCATGGCGTCCCCCCGCTGAAGCTCTGCAAGAAGCTCAACCGGGAGGCTCAGCAGTGAGTCCCCCCACATCCCAGGGTGACGGGCCCTTCACGGTTCTGCCACTGCTGCAGTCAGAGGGGCCCTGGGGTGGCTGGAGGGACATGAATTTAGGGGGCAGATACAGCCGGGCTTGAATAACCACTCTGCCTCTTCCCTAGGCAGGTCCCTTTTTCCCTCTGAGCCTCAGTTTGCTCCTCTGTAAAATGGGGTGTTTGGGGGGCTCCAAAGAGATGCAGGCGTGCCACCCCTGATTTCCTCTACGAGCCCAGGGAAGGAAGCATGGCCACGCCAGTTCAGGGCTCAGACTTGGAGGCGTCCCTGGGCCGCGCCTGCTCTAAGGAAGAACCGTTGTCTGTGGCAGGTATTCAGAGGCCCTGGCCAGCACGAGGATCCTCAAGCACAGCCCGGAGTCCAGTCGCGGCCAGTGTGGAGAGAACCTGGCCTGGGCATCCTACGATCAGACAGGTGGGTCGCTTTCTCGGCTCCCCTGCCGTCTGCCCGAGCTGGGCCCAGGCACCCCCGGTGGTGTAGCCCTGCGGCAGCTACGGGCCCAAAAAGGGAAGGGAACCCCCGAGCTCGGCCTGCTCGCACAGGCTGACTACGGCTCACCACCGGGTCTCTGATGGTCAGCTCCGGGCCAGGGCTGCGCTGGTGCCAGGGACGCAGAGATGACTCAGACTGCTCCGACACACCACCCCCCGCTTTTGGAAGAGCTCCCAGCTGAGGAGTAGGGTGGGGGACATAAACCATCTCTGTTCAGAGCCTCAGCCTGACTCTGCGGGCACTGATGCATCCCCAGCTACAGAAGAATTTTACTTTTGTTAACATTTTCCTAAATTTTTTTTTACAGTGCTAGTATATAAACTTTATTCAGCAGAAAAGTACAGTAGAGCTTCTGCCATGTTGGGGGGAAAAAAATCATAATAATGGGAAAGGCAATTCCTCATCTGAGATCTCAGCCCGGAATGGCATTCCTACCGCAATGACCAGACATTCTTGAGCTTCCTGGCTCTGACAGCCCTGTCGTAGCTTTTGAGGAAAAGTATTGGAGAGCCCTGCCTCCCTCTGTGAAGTGTACTGCAAACCCCAGCTGGAGAACGGCTCTTCCCTCCCAGCCCTCACATTCCTAGGAGTTCCCAGCGGAGAAGGGGGAGGTGGGGGGAGGCCCGAGTGTCCTCCCGGGCTCCCCAGCGCCGCGGCCCTCCACGAGGGGTGTGCGCATGCTCCTGAGGAAGGCAGGAGTCCACAGTCTGCAGCCATCTCTCCGGGACTCATTTTGGGCCTGGTGGGCCCAGGGGAGGAGGGACAGAGGTGGGAAAGAGCCAGTAGGAGACACGGTTCCATTCCTGGGGACCCTTGAGCAAGTCCTTACCCTCTCTGACCCCAGTTTTTCCATCTCTGCCGAGAGGGAGTTGGGTACATGGTCTCTAAGGCAATGATTCTTTACCTGGCTACCCATTAGGATCTTTTAAAAATACCAGTTCCTCCGTCTCTACTCAAGAGATACCTATACCATCAGTCTTTGGCAGGCCCCAGGCATCAGCAGTTTTTAAAAGCTCCCCAGGAAAGGCCTGTGTGTAGCCCCTGCTCTCTAAGGCCTTGCTACTCCAAGTATGGTCCACAAACCAGCAGCAGCAGGGACCCTATTAGGAATTCAGACTCAGAGGCTCTATCCTAGACCTACTGAAATCAGGACCTGCACTTTACCAAGAACTTCAGGTGATTCATACACATATTGAAGTTCAAGACTTACTGCTCTGAGCTCTGAGGCTCCTCCTAGCTCTGGCCCTGAGATCATCAGCTCCCAGGGAAAGGCTGTGGGGTTTTCTCCTCTCAACACTGGCTGGGCTAGTGGGTGCTCCAAGTGAGGACCCCTGCCTGCGATGGAGACCCTGGCCCCCCCAGGCCAATTGCCTTTCCTCCTGTGGATGTTTCAGGAGCTAGACTTGGGGTGCAATGAAGGCAGAGCCTCTGGAAAACTTGGAGCATCATTAGAAGCCCTTGGAGTACATTGCATTTAACCCTCTTGTACAGGGAGGCTCAGAAAAGGGAAGGCCTTGCCTGAGGTTACACAGCCAGGTAGTGGCAGGGTAAGGACACAGATGCAGGTGACCCCAGCCCGGGGCTCTTCCTAATCCCCAAGAAGGACAACTCTTCCGCCTGGGAGTGCTCACGGGCAGATGTCCCTGTTTCAGCTCCCTGGGGCTTTATCAGATGTCTGACTGTGGGATGGGTGGTTTGGGGTTCTTAGGAGAAGAGGGAAGGAATAGGGAGTGCATTGATTTTGCTGCTGAGTTTTAAACAGTGTCTTTCCCACACAGGAAAGGAGGTGGCTGATAGATGGTACAGTGAAATTAAGAACTACAACTTCCAGCAGCCTGGCTTCAACTCTGGGACTGGTGAGCAACAGGGTCACACCGCTGGCCTGGCGCTGGGCGTTGTCCCAGCTGGGTGTCTGATTTCAGAGAGAAACTAACCCTCTGAAAATCAATCGTTTCCCTCCTGTTTTACCTTTGCCTTTTTTCTCTGGTTTGACTTTGGCCAAAGGGTAAAACTCTCTTTCCCCAACACACACACGCACACACACCCCCGCCTCCATCTAAGAGCTCCCAACCCACCAGCTCCAAGTTCTTCAGGTGACTGGAGTGTGTCTTCAGGAGGCTGTAGATTTTTATTTTGTTTTAAATGTACTTCTTTATTTATTTTCAGAGAGGGGAAGGGAGGGAGAAAGAGAAACATTGATGTGCAATAGACACATCAATTGGCTGCTTCTTGCACGCCCCCAACTGGGGACCTGACCCGCAACCCAGGCATGTGCCCTGACTGGGAATCGAACCAGCAACCCCTCAGTTTGCAGGCCGGCACTCAATCTTCTAAGCCATACCAGTCAGGGAAGGAGGCTGTGGATTTTAAAAGCTGCTCAGTGCTTCTTTCCAGAAGTGGTGCCTTGGCACTTTTAACTGGTCTTCTAGGCTTACTCCCCTGCAGCCCAGCCTGCTCCCCAGCACCCACAGTGTTCTAATACCCTCTCTGCCCATGTTACTGTCCTGATGAAACTGCCAACGGCTTCCTGGGGCCTTCAGGAAAAGGGCCAAGCTCGCTCTTCGCTTGATTTTAGTTCCCGCCTCCCTTCACACCCCAACTTCCTTCCTGCCATGCGCCCCATGCCTCACGGTCTCCCAGGCATTCTTCCTTCACCTTTACGCCGGGGTCAGTGGTCTGGGTGCGCTTGCAATGCAGAAAACCTGGAGCTAGTCTCAGCCCTGGCGCTATTATTTGGGTGAACTTGGGTTGATGCTCTGTCCTTCCCTGTCTCAGAGGGGGAGGGACAAGGTGGTGGTCACTACAGGACATTCTGAGAGGTGGAGTTTAGATTCAGGGAGGAGCTGCCTGTGGGACTATCCAGCCTCTCTCATGGGCTTGCATGGTGAGCAGTAAACATTTAACCTCCTAAAGTCCCAGGCAACTGCTGTGAGCTCTGGGCTCCCTCTTGTCCCTCACCAGCCTCACCAGATGCCTGTCTTTCCTTAGAACCAACTCAGATCCACCTGGGGTGGCCCAGGGTGGGGTGGAAGGGGCTGTCAGTTTCTCTGATCCGAAGGCACCAGAAAAACTGAAAAAGAGATTCTCTACCCACCACTATCCCTCTACCCGACCCCACCTGTGGGTGGAGCCACTTACAGAGGTGTGGCCTCCCAACCTCCGGAGGGTTCTTCAGAAACAGGAAGTGACATGCTCTCAGAACGAGTCACTGTTTCCTGTGGTTTTCTGCTTACTCTCTTGGGCAGGGGGTTCTTGCAACTGTGTGGGCAGGACTAAGGGGCAGAGGTAGGCCTGGGATGAGGAAGGAGGCTGCTGCCAGGGCTCTGACGCAGAATTGGTGGTTCTGTGACTATTACATTCCATCGGTGAGGGAGGGAATAGCAACAACCTCCTTCCATTGTTTAAGGATGTGTAGGTAGAACTTGGTGACCTTTTCATAAAGACTTGTGTCTAGAAGATATTTGATTTTACAGTGTCGGGATCTGCTTTTCCCATGAGCAAGATTCACGGGCAATTGGACATGTGTCAGAGTCCGCTCTTAGCTTTGCTCCTGTGTGCAGGCCACTTGACAGTTATAAAGCGCCTCCCCATCCACGGCCACACGAGCCTTGCAATACCATTTGGAGGTAGGGCTTCAACCCACTAGTTTTGCAGAGGACACTGAGCCCCAGGAAGGGAAAGAGATTTCTTTATACCCTCTGTCCTCAATCCGATGCTCTTATCGTGGCCTCTGATCCTGCACAGGGATCTTAGAAGTGTCAGAGCCAGGAATAGGACTCAGCTTTCAATGGTCACTGACCGCCTGTCTCACCCATTGCCCCACGCCTCCCACCTCGGAAGAGGAGAACCGCAGCGCAGCTAGCACTGATGCCGTCCCAGGTGCCGGTGGGCAATGCCTGGGCACAGACAGAGCCTCATCCTAAGACAGGAGCACAGGTTTGGGGGGAGTCATAATCGAGGCTTGCAAGACCCTTAGAGGTCTGCAGGCCCATCTCCCCGCCTCAGCCTCTCCGGGAGTTGCACCGTTGTTCTGGGATCCCTGGCCTGGCTTCACGTAGTAGGCGATGGAGCCTTTGAGATACCGTGTAGTTTCTCCCCACTCTTCCCCACCCTTGTCAGTGTCTTGTGATGAAGAACACAGTTCTGCACTATGAGCTGAGCGGAGCAAAATGGTTTCTTGCAATTCCTTTGTTATATTCTATTTTAATGAGTAAGTTTGCTTGTTTATTCATTCTGAATCAGTAGTACTTTTACATGACATGAAATTTGTAAGCTGTGTAAAGTGAAAAGTCTTCCATCCACCCCTGGCCTTCGGCACTTTCCCTCCCAACCAATGACACCAGTTTCTTATGTATCATTCTAGGGTCATTCTGAGCTTATACCGGCAATTATGTAAATATGATTTTTTTCCCGTCTTTAATACTCTGTTTTCAGATACATGATCTGTTCTGCACTGGCCATCTTCACACAGCAGATTGGCAGAGATTGTTCCATATCAATGCAACAGGAGCTTTCTCATTGTTTTTTACTGGTGCACATTATTCCCTTGCACAGATGTACTGTGACTTATTTGATGTGTTTTTCAAATATATATTTTAGGAAGTTTGGGCCCATAGCAGGAAAGAGGATGTGACCCACTTAGGAAAAAAAGAAAAAGAAAAAGGAAGCTGTTGGTAGTTTAGAGTTAGAAACCAGTGTGTATCTATCTGATGGTTGCTAAGGAAGTCGTGTTCTTTAATTCATCTGTAAATACCATACTGAATTAACTCCCCAGCCAGAAGGAAGATTACTTAGTGTCTCTGTTTGGAAAAGGCTTCCACAGGCATTCCTGCTGCCGTTCATGTTGTGTCTGCGATCATATTCTTGGCAACCAGTGTATAAATAGCACTCCTTTTGTGGGTGACAGAGACACCGCGGGGGTCAATGGCCAAAGCATGTGGTCTTTTGAGAGAAAAGGTTTGTATGATAAAGCTCTTGAGCCTTAATGAACAGACAGTGTATAGAAGCAGTGACACCTGGCCACGCTGCCAAAAGCCTGGCGCCATGACTCAAAACTACAAGGACCAGGGTGAATTAACAAGAAGTGTTTCTCTTTTATTATGAGGTGAAAAATCAGAGTTTTTCGGGCAAAGTTTAACACAAGTTTAAGGATAAGTGGAAAAGGTGCATAATCGTACTTAAGGTTTGTTTTCTTTTAAATCTTGCTTTGATTGTATCATATCAACTCCACTGATTAGTGTCTATATTTGATTATTTTCAGGAAGAAAAATCTTTTTTTGGATGTAGACAAATAAGGACACTATAGCTAAATTTAAGAATTATAAAAATGTTCTGACCAGTGTGGCTCAGTTAGTTGGGTGTCGTCCTGCAACCCAAAAGATTGTGGATTTGATTCCCAGTCGGGGCACATGCTTAAGGTGCAGGTTTGGTCACCGGCTGGGGCAAGTATGAGAGGCTACCGACCAATCAATGTTTCTCTCTCACATCGATATTTTTCTCCCTTTCTTTCTCCCTCCCTTCCCCTCTCTCTAAAAAACAAAGAAAATCTTTTAGAAAAAGAATTATTTAAAATTGGGGTTCAACTGTAGGGGGGAAAAAGCACTTTAATCAATGAACACTTACTCAGTCCTTACTGTATCTGATAAACATGAGAGATATCAACATTGTTTCTTCCTGAAGTATTGGAAAAGTGTAGATACCAGAATTTCTTTCTCTTTCTTTCTTTCATTTTTCTTTTCTTTCTTTTTTAAATTTTCTTGTAAAATAAACTTAAAATTTATCATTTAAATGTATGCACTTACACATTTTTAAGTGTATAGTTCAATGGGACTAAGTACATTCACATGTTGTACAATCATCACTACTGTTCATTTCCAAAACTTTGTCATTATCTCATCTTGAAATTCGGAACCCACTAAACAATAACTCCTGCCCCTCCTCACCCCCTACTCCAATCCCTAGGAACTGCTATTCTACTTTCTGTCTCTAATTTGACTATTCTAGGAACCTTATACAAGTGGAATCATGCAATATTTGTCCTTCTGTGTCTGGTTTATTTCACTTACAATAATGTCCTCAAGTTCATCCATGTTGTAGCATATGTTCAAATTTCCTTCCTTTTTAAGGTTGAATAATGTTCCATTATATGTATATACAACATGTTGTTTATCTGTTGATCCACTGATGGACATTTAGGTTTTTTCCCCTTTTGGCTATTGTGAATTATGCTGCTGTGTACAGTGGTGTACAAATATCTAAGTCCCTGCTTTTAATTCTTTTTGGTATATACTTAGAAGTAGAATGCTGGATCATATGATAATTTCATGTTTAACTTTTTTTGCTTATTGATTTAGAGGGAGAAGAAAAGAGGGAGAGAGAGAGGAAAAAAATTGATTTGTTGTCCCACTTATTTATGTGTTCATTGGTTCACTCTCTTATGTACCCTGTCTGGGGATCAAACTCAGCACCTTGGCATATCAGGACAATACTCTAACCAACTGAGCTACCCAGCCAGGGCCATGTTTAACTTTTTGAGGAACTGCCGTACTGTCTTCCACAGCAACTACACTATTGTACATTCCCATCAGCAATACACAAGTTTTCCAATTTCTCCACAACCTCACCAAAATTTCTTTTTTTGTTTACAAAAAATAATATCCACCCTAATGGGTATAAAGTGGTTACTGTCTTTCTTAACCAACCTGTAGGAAACTTAGCTACTCTGATCATGATTTTCCTCCCTCTTCCTTCTCTCTGTCTCTTTCTTCTTCATCCAATATTTATTGAGCATCTACTATGTTCCAAGTCCAATACCAAATACTGGGGATATGGTGGTAGATAAGGCACATGCGGTGCCTACCCTCTAGGTGGAAACATCATTTCTTCAAGGTTATTTTAGCAGACAGATGCTGCCCAGTGACATGGGAGTAAATATCCCATTGACCTGTCACCTCAACAATAAAAGTGAAAGAGATGAGCTCCTGACTTTTACTCCCAAGAGATGAGAAGAATTTATGGTCATAGAGCAAAGAAGACCTTACAACAATTCCTTGACCCCAAAGCAGGAGGGGAGTAGGAAATTAAGCCATGTTAGCTGCTTGAAAGGACCAATGATTAAGGGGCAGATGGCTTGAATGGCAAGACTGATACTGAGAAGCTTCAGCAAGCCACAGAGTATCTGGCGGGTCAGGCAATAGCTTGAGAAAGTACCGGGCTACCCTGACTGATGTGGCTCGGTGGATTGGGCATCGTCCCACAAACAAAGGGGTCACCGTTTCAATTCCCGATCCAGGTACGTGCCTGGGTTAATGGCTGGTCCCCAGTTGGGGGCTTGTGAGAGGCAGCCGATTGAAGTTTCTGTTTCTTTTGCTCATTGATATTTCTCTCTCTCCCTCCCTTTCCCTCCCTCTAAATATAAATAAATAAAATCTTTTAAAGAGAGAGAGAAAAGCCCTGGCTGTTGTGGCTCAGTGGATTGAGCACCGGCCTGCAAACCAAAGGGTCGCCATTTCAATTCCCAGTCAGGGCACATGCCTGGGTGGTGGCCCAGGTCCCCAGTAGGGAGCATGCAAGAGGCAGCCACACACTAATGTTTCTCTCCCTCCCTTTCTCTCCCTTCCCTCTGCCTAAAAATAAATAAAATCTTTAAAAATAAAAGAGAGAGAGAGAGAGAGAGAACTGGGCTGTTTGGCTCAGAACAGAGGGAATTAAAGGAGGCTCTTCCTCGTCAAGGCCTCAAAGAGCTCAAAACATAAAAGGTCTGCATTTCCAGTGGGAGTAAACCCTGAGTCCAAGAGGGTTCTTTCATGTGCTTTTTATCCATTCACTCATTCATTCTATTCATTCATTCAATGGAAGTTTATTTTATACTTTGCATGTGTGTACTTTGGTGTCCACCCATGTGGGCTCATAGCCTCGTGAAGGAGCCAAACAATTTGGTGTCCACCCATGTGGGCTCATAGCCTCGTGAAGGAGCCAAACAATAAGCAAATAAGAATGTGATGAAGGGGGAAAAAACAGGTGTGGTAAGACCCTCTTGGGTGGGAGGCATTCAGGAAGTCAAAGTGATTGTGAAAGGCTTCTTTAAACAAGTGCCGTTATGGCTGAGGCCTAGGGGACAAGATGTTAGTCATCAGAAGAGTATCCCACTCCAGCGTGTGCAAGGGCTCCATGGCGGGAAACAACCTGGGGTGTTCAAGGAATGGAAAAGAGGCCCCCGGGCCAAAGCATTTGCTTTCATTCTAGGTGCAATTGGAAGCAATTAAAGGATTTTAAAGCAGGGAAATAAACAGATATGACTTAGTCTCAAAATGATTATTCTGGCTCCTTAAGCAGAAAGTGAATCGAGGAGACAAAGGTAGAAGCTGGAGGAATTAGCCAGGGGGCCATTGCAATGGCCCAAGTGAGAAAAATGTGTGATTGGGACCCAAGTTCTGGGAGTGGATGGATTTGAGAGGTATTTTAGAGTTAGATTCGTCAGGATTGAATGATGCCTCTCACACACCCTCAACCGGGGACCCAACCCGGTTGTTGTGAGAAATGAGGTAGAGGGCGGAATGCAGACCTGTCCCTAGGACTGTGTGCATAGAGGTGCCATTAAAGGAAATGGGAGGGTAGGGAGAGGGGCAACGTCAGGTGGACCAAAAGCAGGAGCGAGGTTAAATTTGAGATGGCTGTCAGTCATCCAAGTGGAAGCGTCAAGTACGTAGTTGTGTTTGGAACACAGAGGAGAGGTTTGGGCTGGAGAAGTAAATGTAGGAGCCAGGCAAAGATGAAATTGTTTAAGGAGTGCAGCAAGAAGACAGCGCCCAGAACTGCACCTGGGGAAATGCAGGTCCTGCCGCATTCACGGAGATGAAGCGCAGGGAGGCAGGCAGTGAGACGGGAGGAATGCCGAGAGGTGGCAGCGCTGAAACCGAAAGAGGGGAGCGCTTTGGAAAGGAGAGGAGTCAGCCCTACTAAATATTCCTGAGATGCTGAGTAAGATGAAGACAAAAAGTGACCATTGAGGGGGAACTTGGAGATTGTTGTGACTTTGAAGAGTACAGTTTGGGCGAGGGTTGGAGGCAGGTGGGAGGAAGGGCGGCATCCTAATTGTAGGGGTCACTGGGCTTTCTCATGATCTCTGGGAGACCATGAAACCTTTGGGCATTGAAAAGTGGTGAGTGAGTAGAATCGGTGTGGTGACCGAGAGGGCCGGATCTACAGAAAGTCAGGCAGTTGGGGCGTTTTGTGTCTCCTTCCTCTGCGCGGTGTCTGTGCTGATCAAGCATCCCTGAGCCTGGCAAGATGGCGCAGGGGCTCACGAATGTCTTGAAACATCCTTCTACAGGCTTTGCTAACTAACTTGTGGCCCCTCCCCCTGCCTGTGCCCCAACAGGACACTTCACAGCCATGGTCTGGAAGAATACAAAGAAGATGGGAGTGGGGAAGGCATCTGCAAGCGATGGCTCCTCCTTTGTGGTGGCTAGATACTTCCCAGCAGGGAATGTCGTCAACCAGGGCTTCTTTGAAGAAAATGTCCTGCCTCCAAAGAAGTAACTTGCCAAATGCCAACGGGCAGGTGGCAGACTTAAGAACATGGATATGAAGTGCCTAGAACAACAAAAACGCAGCTGTGTGTCTGTCTTTGTGGGTGTATGTGCTTGTGTGTGTGATGCATGTGCATGTCTCTTGCACACACACTTGGATATACATTTTTGCATGAACTCATTCTTATCAAAGGAATGAGCCAGGGAAGCCTTTACTCTGATTGTTAGACCACAATTATTTGGTCTTTGGGGGAAAAAATCAATTTTTAAACTTTTTGTTATTTTTTTAAGCAAACTTTTGTACCTTTCTTACTTATAATATCCCTGAACATTTCGTATTTCAAATGTTTGTAATGCTGAGAAGTGAAGTTCATTTCCTGTGATCTTCATGCATTGTAATCTACTTGTGGTAGATATTTAAGAATATTAAACCTTCATTTAAATGTGACAGAAAACACAGCTTTAAACACAAATACAAAGCAGCTTCTATCAGAAACATGGTGCAGGCAGGGGTTCCGTTTCACAGAATTGTTGAGATTTCTCAGCTGTAAAACATGATGTCATCTTCATGCCTCCTGGAATTTTCTAACGGGATTGCCAAAGAACAAATGGAGAAAAAACTTTACTTCCTTGTATTTTTTTTTTTATATGCCACCTAATTTTATTTTATTTTTCCTTTTTTCTTGAATTTATCAGGGTAACACTGGTTAACAAAATTATACAGGTTTCAGCTGCACAGTTCTGCCACACATCATGGGTACCCTGTACTGTGTGTTCACCACCCCAAGTCAAGTCTCCTCCTCTTGCTCTTTATTCCCCCCCCATACTCTCCCCTATCTCCCCGCAGCCACCCTCCTCTTGGCAGTCACCGCGCTGTTGTCCCTGTCCACGATCCACGAGCTCTCTCTCTTTGGTCCTTTTTTTTTTTTTGCTCAATCCTCCAGCATCCTTCCCCCACATTTTCCTCCCTTCAAATAGCAAAGTACTGCTATCACCACCACCCCTTGACCCACCCCCCCATCTTTTTTCTTCTTCTTAAAACCCCCTGGCATTTCATAGCTCAGTATGTACCCCCTGATTTCTGGGGAGCTGGGCCAGGCCTGAAACTCCCCCCTCCCCCCACCCTGCTAGGTGGCCCCGGGCCCGTTGTGGGAGAGCGCCCCTCACACTGCCTGGGCTCTTGGCCAAGCGGCCTTGGATGGAGTCAGTGAGCGTCCTGGCGAGGGTGAGCTCACTCAGGGCCCCCGGAGGAAACCCTCCAGCCTCTCGCCTCCGACACACAGACACACAGGGCGGGAGCGCAGGCTGTTCCTGGCAGCTGTGGCTGCAGCTGTGCCGTTGCTCCTTCCTGGAATGTGTGACAAGCCCAAATGTTCCTGGGAGATATCCCATGCGGGGGCTTAAGAGTCGCTAATTTGGTTCTGCATTTTGCCTCAAACTCCACAAAGTTCCCCTGAATAACAATTTCACATGGTCCATGTGAGAGGGACCAACCCAGAGAGATGGCACACTGAGTGTCCCTGACATCACAGCATCGGTAGGTGCCGAGATAGCAGGGCAGGCCCTCGGGAGTGGCCCGCAGAAAGACTGCAGTCTGAGCAGACCAGCCTTTGGGACACGTTTCCTGAAGGTGCCTGTTGCACCGTGAACACAGTTTCATGCTGTGCCCTTCATTTCACCCAGGCGTATCGATGAAGACAAAACCTTTTCCTTTTGTGTAATATCTGCCTCCCCCTGTGATTCATGCCTGATTCTGAATCAGTGACTAAGGTAATCCACAATGAGTTCCTGTAATTCAAGCTTCCAAATACCTCCAACCTCCCCCCTGCAGACTGTGCTCCTTAGGCAGCTACGCTGTGAACCACGTGCCCTACCAGCACACAGCTGATTGCGCTAGAGTGGACATGTGATCCAAGAGCGGCTCATCTCTGGGCTGGCCATCAACCAGGAATTTGAGCTAAGAAATAGGGGAGAATTTACCAGTGCAACTGAAAAAATAAGGATGCCATGAGTTTGAATTAGGGCCATGGCAAGCCAAAGCTATATGCAGGTTAAGTTATGAAAATATTGTACACAGAAGTGAGAAAGCCAGTTGCTGCAGGTACAAAAGAGGTAGAGATACTGATGGACTGTTCCTAAGTTTTCTACTTCCAGGTCAAATCGGCGTATCTCTAAAACACGCACCTCATTTTCTTCAGGGCTTCCCAACAAACTGATATATCAACCGATGGTCCCCATAACATTAAAATATTAGGTACCCTCCCGTAGGGAGTCTTCATGAACAGAAAACACTGAGCTAGGCAGGAAGCTGAAGATGGATGGCAGTCTTGGGTTGAGGTCCTTTTCAGGCTACACCTGGGCAGCCACCATGAGCAAGAGGGAACTTGGTGACCAGTTATTGAACTTTGTAGTTGCTCTAAGAAACGCCCTCCACCCAATACATACACATCTATAACCAGGTAGTAGATGCTGGCGTGCAGCCAGGTTCTTAGGGCTGGCATCGGTTTCCTCAGTTGGCTGGAGTAAGGAAAAAGCAGACCAGAGGAGCTTTCCAGACTGAAGAAAAGCCAGACAATAAAGCTGATGGAGCAGAGGGCACCAATCTCACTTCTTTAATGGATTTCTTGAAGAGGACAACTCTCACAAGTTCAACGAAAGCAGAAGAGAAGCCAGATTCCAGCTCTCCTTTGTAGCCAGGGGGGCAGCCAAAGCAGTCAGGAATGCCGGCTCCAAGCTTAGTTCTGGACACAGTGAGCTCATTAAAGCCCTTATCTTCTCTGGACCCCAATTTGTCCACCTATACAAGGTCTGGCCCATGGAATTAATTAGGTCTATTGGATCATTTCAGGTCTCCAGGGCATGCCCCTAGGCCCAACTTTCTTAAATGGACGGAAGCATCTGATGAGAGACCTTCCTGCCTTGTTCAGGGGGCCTGAAACAAAAGCAAAGGAGCACAACCACCCCCTCCGCCAAAACACCCCCAAGGCTGCAGGGTGTGGGGACAAAGGTGAAGCCGAAACACCTGACCCACCCAACCCCTCCTCACCTGTACAAATGGCCCAGGAGGTAAGGTCTGCCAACATCTCATGAGGGCGGGCCTGCAGCCAGTGGGCGTGAGAAAGTGTTTGGCATCAACACCAAGAGGCCTTATCCTCCATCCAAGTCACTGCCAGGTCTTGTAGATCAGGGCTGGAGAAACAATCAGAACTCAATTGTTCTCACAGGGAGAGAAAGGAGCCAGCAGGAACTCAGCTAAGGTACACACAGCTAGTCTGTGGCAGAGGGGCTGAAACCTGAGCCTTCTTCCCTTCGGGAAAACACAAAGTTCTTAGCCTTGGGCAGATACGTAGGTCAAGAGACTGCGTGCCTCTAACCCAGGCAAGGATCAAGGTAAACGCACTTAGCATTAAAAGGTAGGTACTTTTAAACAATTTTCAAATTATCAAATGAGTGAAATAAAGAAAAAGCCAGGTCTGGAATGAAAGGCTGAGTGAGAGGCAGTGAATAATAATGGGAACTTGACTAATCTGGGCAAAGAGGGAGCTGACCCGCTCTCACATTCCTAAGGCTCAAGGAGACACTGAGTTTTCCTAGCTGGGGCGCTAAGGACTCGCTGAGGGTCAGAAGTGGGACTTAGGGCCCAGGTTGGAGGAAATGGGGGGCGGGGGGCGGTGTGCGAGAGCGAGCCCAGATCTTCTCTGTACCGTCTGGCAATGAAGCTAGGGCCTGCGTGTTGAGCTCCTTCCTGGGAGCTCCCCAAGGCTGGTCCGGGTGGGGCCCGCCGGAGGCTCAGGCTGGCACTTAATCCCTACTTGGCAGAGACGCTGCGGGAACTCCACGCCAGCCCGGAGGCGGGGGTGCCGAGCTGGCCGGGCGGGGCATCGAGGGGGGACGCCTGTATCTGAGCCGGCTCCTCTCTGGCATACCCCAGTACTGAGGCTCAGTACTCCTTCTGCAAAGTGGACAAAGGTGTGTTTGCGGTGATCGTAAAGAGGCTCTGTCATTTGAATGCCAGGGTCGCAGCCAGCGGATCTGCCCTGTAGCCTCTATCGGGACTGTGGGCGTGGAGCGGGACGGCGGGGGGCGGGGCGGGGGGACGCAAGTAGGTGGCAGCCCAGCAGAAGAGGGGAAACCCCACGGCCCTTCACAAACCGCAGACTGGTGCAGCCGAGGCGGCGCGCTCAGTGTCCTAGAGCGGGTCGCTTCTGGCGCTGGTTCCCACCAAGCAGATGACCCTCCAGCCCCACCGTGTGGCCGCGGGCAGCTCAGGGAGTCTGCCCAAAGGGACCCGCGCATTCCAGACTTCCGGACAAGTATTTATGAAGGAAGTAGTCCGGAGAGTCAGCGCTTGGCGTTCTGATGCAGTGTTAATAAAATAACGACAAGTAGCATTTATCCAACTTTTGCTACAAGCCAAACATCGTGCTTAACATTCATTTCAATGAGTTTCTCATTTAAACTCTTAATGCTCTTTGAAGCAGGTACTATTATTCCCATCTCACAGATGAAGAAACTGAGGTTTAGAGACAATGGACAACCTGTCAAGTCCACACTTGATGGAGAGCTGATGCACTACAGCCCCCCAACGTTTTACAACTAGAGACTTGGAAATGTGCGGCGAATGTCCCAGTGTGCTGTGCAACTGAAATAATCAGGCATCCCCCAGTGCTCAGCTAATAACCGCAGCCGGTGAGTGGCCTCCACCTCTCCCTCTATGTGAAAGAATGGTATCTGTGGCTACGAAGGTCAGAAGCCAAAGGACAGAGCTTTTCTTCTCTGATGCCCAGGAGCCTTTGCAGAGAGAGGTACTTCAAGGCCTAAGAATCAGTTACCAGGGTAAGCTGAGTAGTTAGGAGCTTCCTAGAAGAGTGGAAAGTGTCCTGAGTTACAGGAAACTTGGGTTCCAGGTCCTGCTCTGCTTCCACCTGGCTATGTGATCTTGGGCAAGTCTCCTCTCTTATCTGGGCCTCAGTTTCCCTCCTGTACAATGGGAGGATTCATCTAGACCGTCTAACAATCCTTTTCCTTCCCCCAACCTCCCTCATGCCTCCCTATTCTATCCCCACCCAAAGTGACTCTGATATTCCAGAAGCCTTGAACTGAGGTTTGAAGGTCCCAGGTGGGAGTTGCAACTTATCTCTGGGTTTCCTCCTGAGCGCTGGGCCCTGGACACTAGGTCCTGGCAGCGTATCTGGTCTTGGCAGGTTGGAGCCATAAGAGGGGAGAAAGGCCCTGTGCCTCTGAGAAATGCCCCTGGAGGCCTGCATTGTGATAACCTCATCTACTCTATGACATCATCCTCTCTCCCACACCCAGGCCTCCCTGATAAACTGCTCTACAAATGACCATCAATTTGAATCCCAAAGGCCTGAGGAAGTTTGTTCTCCAGTACCTGCTGCTGATCTCCTGCCTCAGCCAGCAAGAGGCACCATGAAATTGGAATTCACTGAGAAAAATTACAACAGCTTTGTGCTGCAGAACCTGAACAAACAGAGGAAACGCAAAGAGTACTGGGACATGGCTCTGACTGTGGATCACCATGTCTTCTTTGCACATCAGAATGTGCTGGCTGCTGTCTCTCCACTGGTGAAGAGCCTCATCTCCAGCAACGATATGAAGACCACCAATGAGCTCTTTATCACCATTGACCCCAACTACCTGAGTCCAGCCACAGTGGAGCAGCTCCTGGACTATTTCTACAGCGGCAGGGTGGTGATCTCAGAGCAGAATGTGGAGGAACTCCTTCGTGGGGCCCAGTATTTCAACACACCACGCCTTCGAATCCACTGCAGTGACTTTCTGATTAAGTCTATCCGCCGTGCCAACTGCTTGCACTACCTCTTCTTGGCCGAGTTGTTTGAGCTCAAAGAGGTATCAGACTTGGCCTACTCTGGCATTCGTGACAACTTCCACTACTGGGCTAGCCCAGAGGGCTCTGTGCACTTTATGCGCTGTCCACCTATCATTTTTGGTCGTCTGCTCCGAGATGAAAACTTGCACGTGCTCAATGAGGACCAGGCTCTCAGCGCGCTCATCAACTGGGTGTACTTTCGATTGGATGAACGGGAGAAGTATTTCAAGAAGTTCTTCAATTACATCAATCTTAATGCCGTCTCCAACAAGACACTGACCTTTGCCAGCAACAAGCTGATGGGCATAGAGAACAGCTCCGCCCATGCAACCATGATTGAGAGTGTCCTTGTGGACCGCAAGCAGGAGAAGCCATGCAGCCTGCTGACCTACCAGCGGAAAGGGGCCCTGCTCGATTCAGTGATCATCCTGGGTGGCCAGAAGGCCCATGGCAAGTTCAATGATGGCGTGTTTGCCTATATCATACAGGAGAACCTGTGGCTGAAGCTCTCAGAGATGCCCTACCGGGCAGCAGCGCTTAGTGCCACCTCTGCTGGTCGCTACATCTACATCTCTGGTGGCACCACTGAGCAGATTTCAGGGTTGAAGACAGCTTGGCGGTATGACATGGATGACAACTCCTGGACCAAGTTGCCTGACCTGCCCATTGGACTTGTCTTCCACACCATGGTGACTTGTGGGGGGACAGTGTATTCAGTGGGTGGCAGCATTGCCCCAAGGCGGTATGTCTCTAACATCTATCGCTATGATGAGCGCAAGGAGGCCTGGTACCTGGCAGGGAAGATGAGTATCCCTATGGATGGCACAGCCGTGATCACCAAGGGCGACAGGAACCTGTACATTGTCACTGGGCGGTGCTTGGTGAAGGGCTATATTTCTCGGGTTGGGGTGGTGGACTGCTTTGACACCAACACTGGGGATGTGGTCCAGTGTATCACCTTCCCCATTGAGTTCAACCATCGGCCCCTGCTCTCTTTCGATCAGGACAACAACCTCTGTGTGCACAGCCATCGGCAGAGTGTGGAAATCAACCTGCAGAAGATAAAGGCCAGCAAGACAACCAGCTCAGTGCCTCTCTTGCCCAACAACTGCCCTTTGGATGTGTCCCATGCTATATGCTCCATTGGAGACAACAAAGTGTTTGTATGTGGGGGCATCACCACAGCGAACGATGTCCAGACAAAGGACTACACCATCAACCCAAATGCCTACTTGCTGGACCAAAAGACAGGCGCGTGGAAGACCGTGGCCTCCCCGCCGGAGGCACTGGACTGTCCTGCCTGCTGTCTAGCCAAGCTACCTTGCAAGATTCTTCAAAGGATTTAAACCACTTTTTAAGTGGGAGAATAAGTAAATGCATTATTATTCACAATTTAATGAGAGAGGGAAAGAAAGGAAGATGGCCTGTTGGTTCCTTCTTTGTGTTCCAGTGTGTATTTGGCCCTGAGGTGGAGATTCTGAGCTAGGGCTGCTCCCAGTGGGTAGAAATTCAGGGGCACTCTGTCACTGGAGGGATCCAAGCTGAGGTTTTGGAGGAGTCCCCCTGGTGGGTAGGATCAAGGCACTGGGCGAGGTGATGTCTGGAAAGCCCCCCTGTCTGCACCCCCGTAGTCACCTTACAGGCATCTGCTAGACTAACAATTAAAACATTTGCTCAGTTGGGAAGTCTCGGACAGCTCTCACATTCACTTCCCAAGAGTCTGCCCAGAAAGGCCGGGGAGGTCCAATGCTAGGTCAGGGAAAAGAGCCTCCTGGGCTAGGGAGGAAGAAGGTACTAGGAGCCTGGCTCAGGGGTGGGGACACAAGGAACAGGCTGGGGGTGGAGGGGCGAGGGCGGGAGAGGCAGGGTTATCTGGCTGTTGTGTTCAGCCGTGCTGTGATGGTGTGCCTGTGTTTCACTTTGGGTGAAGTTGGGGGGTTACATACAATTGTTTCTAGTAAGCAAGGTTCACAGAGAACTTTCTGGAGGGTGAGAGTGGCTGCTTCGCAGGGCGAGGTGAAGTTTAAATGTTACAACGTGCAAAATGCCAAGGACAGGCCCTGGCATATGGCCTTTGAAACTCCCTATGTCAAAACCTTGGTGAACTTGCCTCAATTCTAACTACTTCTGTTTCTCTTACATTCATTTATTTACTTACATATAATCCTCAACAATTTATAAGAAGTAGACTAAGTCCCTTAATACCATATCTAATCCTCATTCTTCCAGTCACTCTCATTCATGAATTTACTTACCCATTCATCATTTCCTATACACACACACACTGCTCAGTGAGGCCTCTGTGCAGGTCCCTGTTCCAGGTGCTGGGGTCACAGGCATGACAGGAACAATCTGTGTCCCTGGGAGGGACTACCTATACCAGTGCCATGCACCAGGAATATTATGCAAGCCACTTGTGTCATTTAAACTTTCCCTGTAGCCGTATCAAAAAAGTAAACAGAAACAGGTGAAATTAATTGCAGTAATATATTTTATTTAATCCAATACATCACAAAATATTATCATTTAAACAAGTAATCAATGTAAACATTTATTACTGAGCTATATAACAATTTTTATACTGTCTTTGGAATCCAGTGTGTAATTTATACCCACAGCATGATTTGGATTAAGCACATAAGGCCCCCTTAGGCTCCTGTATGATACAATGAAGGGTACTTGGGATATCTTCATGGTTCAACTCTCCAGCTGCTTCATTTGCCCACTCAATCCTGCTCAACCTGCTCAGCACCATCTTCCCGACCACCATGTTGGACGGCCTCTCTTCAAAGCCCACCCCTCTGCCCATGTTTTATTTTTTCTAGGCCAGGACCTTGGACTTCACCGCTGACTCTCTCTACCCTAGAACTTGGCCCACATCTCTCAGTTCTCCAGCCTTGAGAAACCCCCACCTCTGCTCACCTCATGGCATCCGCCAGCTAGAGGAACGGGGTCTTACAGAACCCTGCAACTAAGCCCAGCTGTCTCGGCCCCCGGCCCACCAAGCTTAGCCGACCACTGAGTCACCTCTTACTGACTCCGGATGCCACTCCCCACAGCTGATTCTCCAACCCTCACTGCTTCCTGGGGCCCCACTGTTTCTCTTTCTTCTTTCTCAGCCACTTGCCTCTTGTCGTGCCCCCAGAACTCCAGAGAAATAAGAGTTCAGATGATCTGATCTCCGTAAACAATCCCACATCCACCATAAATCTGTCCAGAGCTTTGGCTTCTGCTCTGTACCTCAGAGGAAGAGGTGCCTTTCCACAGTCAGTTTTGACCTCTCATGTCCCTTCTGTTCCCTAACGATTTCTCAGGCTCCTCAATTCCCTCTCCACATCCTCTTCCTCTCTCCCTCCCTCCCTCCCTCCTTCCTTCCTTCCTTCCATCCTCCCTCCCTTTCTTCCTTCCTTCCTTCCTCCCTCCCTCCCTCCCTCCCTCCCTTCCTTCTTTCTTTGTTTCTAAAATAAAGTTTTTATTCACTCTCCAAGAAAGGAGAAGGGCATGATCCCCTTCTTCATCCCATAAATATCCTCATGGTTCTCTGATCCTGAAAACAAAGCCCCTTCAGCTCTGAGGTCTACCTCTTGCCATTTGCTATCTCTTCCTCAGTTGAGTTTCCTAAATGTTGTCTTTACTCTCTGGCTCCAGATCAATCTCTAACCCACTCACGCTGGCTTCTGGTCCTACCATGCCACCACTGTCTCCTGATGACACTGTTTCTCTTTGTCCTCTTCTCAGCATTATTTCCCTTGCAGTACTTGACCACGGGACAGTCTTGACCACGCCCACCTACAGCAGAATCACTGGGTTCCTTGATAAAATAGACCTTTAGCATAGTGGAATTATAATTTGACATATTAACCAGTGTAGTCTTTCCTTCCTTCCTCCTTTTCTACATTGAAATTAGACCATGAGGCAGAAGCACCCAGGGCTTATCACTTTGAGGTGGCTGACCTAGCTGAATGTAGGAATCGGACGCAAACTTTTGGCTTCTGCTGCTAGGGAAACCTTAGCAATTCATAGCAGAAATGTGGTCTTAAAAGACAAGGCTTTTGAACTACAACCCAGGGCTTCAAACTGGGGCACATAAAATCTTTCCAATGGAAATTCAGACATGCATAGTTTTAAGGGAATCAGTTTCCAGATCCTCAACATTTTTTCCCTAAAATCTATCTACTTGAGAATATACCTGGGGTGGAGATTTCATTTTAGTTTTCTTTTCCCACCTTCCTACTCAAAACTGGCTTTCAAACACCCTCGTGTGTGCGCGCGTGCGCACATACACATAGACACACACACACACACACACACACAAACCTTTATCTATTCCCAGTCTTCCCAGGATGCACTGCCCCAGGATCCCACATAGGGTATAAACTGGTGCCCGTGAAGCATCACTGAAGCCCCCTTTCATCAAGTCACCAAAACCTAAAGAAGTTTGTTGTATTTTTTTTCTCTTATTGATACAGTGTTTCTGTTAAGTTATGAAACCTAGTGTTAAAAACTGGGGTACTTTGGTCCAAGTGGGGTTGTTCAGAAATGTGAAATAGCACAATGGTATGATGGCATAGGGTTTAATGTTTTATTGAGATATAATTCACATACCATATGATTCACCCATTTAAAATGACTTTTGGCACATTCAGAGCTGTGCAATCATGACCGTAATCATTACCCCTAAAAGAAACCCCATACTCCCTCAGCTGTTACCCCCTAACCCCATCTTTTCTGCTCTAGGCAACCACTAATCTTCTTTCTGTTTCTATGTATTTGCCTATTCTAGACATTTCATATAGATGGAATCATATAATATGTGCCCTTTTATCTGGCTTCATTTCTTTTTATGGATGAATAATATTTCATTGTGTGAATATTTAGTTATTCATTTATGAGTTAGTTAATGGGGATTTGGGTTGTTTCTATTTCTTGGCTATTATAGATAATGCTCAATGAACATTTGTGTACAAGTTTTTGTGTTCACATATGTTGTCATTTCTCTTGGACATATACCTAGGAGCAGAAATGCTAGATCAAACGGTAATCATCTGTTTAACCATTTGAGGAACTGCCAGACTGTCTTCCACAGCATCTGCATCATTTACATTCACACCTACAATGTGTGTGGGTTCCAGTTTCTCTGCATCCTCACTTCTTATTGTCTCCCTTTCCGAATATAGTCATCCGACTGGGAGTAAATAGCAGTCTATTGTGGTTTTGATTTGCATTTCCCTGATGGCAAATGTGTTGAGCATCTTTTCATGGGTTTGTTTTGTGTGCCAGTTAGTCAGTAACCTTGCATCTTCTGTGCTCAATTGTTGTCAAAGTTTTACTCCCCAGGAAGAGTTCTAGGAGGACAAAATAAAGACAGCATGGCTCACAAACTTGATGGTCATAGTGCATGATTTCATCCAGGCCACAGAATTGTGATAAGTCTCTATGCCTTCCTATGTATCCATCTATTTAGAATTAGAATATTCAACATTTGTTAAAAATAGGATAGAAACTACCCACCAGCAAGCATGTCCTTGCTGCATTTTCACCATTCTCAGTAATGAGTTTTCATTCTTATATGTCTAGTTGTACATTATGTACCATTTAAAGGATGATGTAAAAAGTTCTACATTTACTTCCAAAAGATGTTACATCTTTAAACATAAGTAAATATATCATGTCAGTTAGAATGCTCATTTAGACTTCTGAGAAGCATTTTAAACCTTTTTTGTTTATCCTCACCTGAAGACATTTTTTCATTGCTTTGAGAAAGAGAGAGAGAAACATCGATGTGGGGGAGAAACATCTACCAGTTGCCTTCTCAAACACTCCCCAACCTATACAGCTTAGAATTAGTTTGTCAGGATGCACAAAAAAAACCCGTTGGGGTTTTGGTTATGAATGCACTGAATTTATAGGTCAATTTAGGAAACTTTCAGATGTTTACAATATCAATTTTTGAAATTCATGGATATGGTGCCCTGACTGGTGTGGCTCAATTGGTTTGGTATCAATAGGTTGCCTCCTATTTGTGCCCTGACCTGCAATTTAGGCATATGCCCTGACTGAGAATTGAACCCACAATGTTTTGATTTATGGAATAATGCTCCAACCAACTAAACCACACCAACCAGGGCAATAAAAAAAGTCTTTTTTTTTCCTGAAGTTTTAAAATTCATGGATATGGTATGTCTCTTCCTTTGAGGGAGTCCTCTTTAATTTCTCTTAAATTTTTACAAGATCTGCCAAGAACATACCTAGCCATGTATTACAAAAAATAGAGACATTCATTGAAGAAGATACAAGATACAAGAAACATTGTACATAGGACAATGCCACCTCAGTCTCCTTCAGA